TTGGAATCCTGAGGACACATAGTTTAACATATAAGGTTGCAAACCAAAAGGTTGGCAGTTCACATCTACCAGTGGCTCCACAAGATAAAGATGGGATGTCTCCTCCCATAAACATTTACTGCCTTGCAAACCAATTGAGGATTCACTATGAGTTGGAAATAACTTCACAGCAGTGGGAGCAAAACAATTTATTGTCATTTAAATCCCCCCCCCCCCATCTTTACAAAGAATTCTGATCACTATTTTTGGGAGGGAAATAAATGCTTAGTTTGGACCACATCTCTCATGTCAAAAATGTATGATTGCTCTTTTCTCTCAGTACTTTGGATTATTTTGGCAAGACCCTCTATGAGGTGGATTGATTCAGTGTCTGGGGTAATCGGGATGGGTGTGTCAGAGACAGTGAGATTGACACAGGACAGAGCAGAATTTAGGGCTGTTGCACATAGGGTCACAATGAGTCGCAAGCAACTCGACAGCACATAACAACATCATCATATTCTTGCCATAAAAACTTAGAAGGCATTATAAGCAAAGGGCAGCATAATGTAAATTCTATACATAACGTAAATTCTAAAGAGGGACAATTAAATAAAAGCCATCAATTTCCGCAGAGTATTAATTTCCAAATTATTTGAGGGCATACAAGAGTCTATCATATAAATGCTCTTATAAACACTAACATTTTTATACAATTATACCAGGGTAGTGTGTAAAATTAATCCCAAAGTATTCTGAAATCAAAATAAGTTAAACAAATATGAGGTATCATCTCACCCCAATAAGAATAGTGAAATTCAACAAAGAAGCAAACAACAAATGCTGGCGAGGTTATGGAGAAAACTGGAACCCTTATTCACTGTTGGGAGTGTAAAATGATGCAACCACTATGGAAGGCAGTATGGTGCAGTCTCAAAAAGTTGGAAATAGAAATACCATTTGACCCAGCAATTCTACTACTGGGAATATACCCTAAAGAAACCAGAACTGCTACACAAGCAAATATACACACACCCATGTTTACTGTGCTTTGTTCACAATAACAAAGAGTTGGAAACAACCCAAGTGCCCATTAACAAACTAATAGATAGGGAAGCTGTGGTATATCCAACAATGGAATACTACACTGCATTGAAATACAAGGAACTCATGCAATATTATTCAATATCAGTGACTCTGGAGGACATTATACTGAGTGAAGTATCTCAGTCACAAAAGGACAAATACTGATTGGTGCCACTGTTGTAAAACTGGACTGACCTTGGGGTTGGGGAGAGACTGAGAAAGATGGGTTCACTAATATATACGGCATTGAAACAGATGAAGGAGAAAACTGTTTAAAAGAGATATGTGACTAGGTATTTTTGTCATGACAAGAGTCTAGAGCAAAGGCTACGATGGTGGAGCGGACCTGGGGGAGGATTTGTAAAACAGTGAAAGAATTTTTCTTTTACTTTTCCAGGAGGGTAGTATACTAGGGAGGAGGGTTGGGAGGGGAGAAAAGTGCTGTGAATGAATGGAAATCCAAAATCTGTCAATTTTTAGAGAAATAATAAATTTAACTAAAACAAAAAGAGCTGCTTTATGCTTTCTCAGAAAAAGTATGTAAGACTGAAAATACTTAAGCTAAATATTTGTTATGAAACAAAATTCCAGGTTTCTAATTTGGTGGAATATAGAAAATATTATATAGACATAATCACTGGTAGGGATAGAAAGTAAAGATAGGGGCCAGGTTTGGAGAAAAGATGATGAGTTTACATCTGGACATGCTGAAACAGAGCTCCCTATGGAAAACTCATTCAAATCTGTAAGTGCTAGCTGTGGTGTTAGCCTAAAAAGTTGGGTTTTTTTAAGTCATTACGGTTAGCGCCACCTGGACTCCAGCTACCAACTGCAGACAAATCAGCATGGTCTTGCTAATCATCAACAGCTGAAGCGGCAATATAAAGAGCATTAGCCACACTTGATGTGTGAAAAAACCAACACAGGAGCAGCAGTGTGACCGAATATAAACTTCTTGCTGCATCCAGCCTGGCCCACTGCTCACCAGTTTTTACAAAAAAAACAAGCCTGTATAACTACAGTCATGGAAAATTCCTCTGAGGGGTCTGAGTTTGAAGGCCCTTCTTGCAAATCTTCAAATCCACAGGGCATAAAAGAATTGGAAAACTGAGCCGAAGATAGAGCTGTTAAAAGTATGAATTTATACAACTGGTTAAGCTTTTGGGAGTACACTGACCTGAGGCTTCTCCATAATAGTCTGCTATTAATCTTAGCAGGAAAAATTATGAAAAGTTACCTAAAAATGTTACTAAATCAAAACCAAACCCAAGCCATCAAGTTGATTCCAACTCAAAAGAACACTAACGTTTCCAAGCCTGAAATCATTACAGAAGCAGAAGGCCACATCTTGCTTTTCCAGACTGGCTGGTAGATTCAAACCACTAACCTTTTTGTTAGCAGCTCGGCTCTAAACCATTGTGTCACCAGGACTCCTAGTAACAAAGGCAGAGCTCCTGTTCCTCATGAAACTTACACTGGAGATGTCTAGCACACAATCTAAGGACCTAGAAGAATCCTCTAGGGATTGTATTTAAGTGCAGATTCTGTATACATGAAGTAGAAAGGGGCAGGTTTAAGTCCGTATGAAACCTTGAAACAATTTTCACAAGTGAAGGAAGCTGAACAATAAATGAAAACTGATAAAGGGGAGACAGTAAGAATAGGGTAAGTTTTATTAGTAGCTTTCTATATTACTACTTAAGTAGAATTACATGGTAATGTTGAGAAGGACATTTTTCCATCATGAGAACATAAAATCAAAGGGAACTGAAAAATAGAGCCAGAGGAGACCAACTGAGGATAGAAGGAAGAAAATGATTCTACTATTTCCTTCAAATGAGCACCTGCATCTCGGCATCTGCCCAATTCGCTCTCACTCAAAGGAGTAATCAGTGCAGTTGTTTTAGATACAAGACTGGGAGAAAAAAAGGTGTATTTTCTAATAGAAAAGCTTTCCAGGTCTCGCTAAACTCCAACTATGTAGTGATTCCTCCCTCCACTCACCTTTTCGTTTTCTCTTAATACATAAGAACAGAGGAGAGACAGGCTCCTCTCCACTGCACAGGTGAGCAAGAATGTGCACACAGACCTTCAAATTCTCAAATCTCCATCATGGAAAATGTACACAAAGACCTGCTTAAGTGGCAAGAAGCTGCAACTACAATCCCAGAGGTGCATGGTTCGAATCCACCAGATGCTCTGCCGGGGAAGGAGGGGCAATCTCCTCCTGTACCAGTCAGATCTGATTTGACGGTACATGCACACAAAAATAATAAAATTTTTAAAAAACCCAAAAAACAAAGACCTGCTTATATTATCCTGTTGTCATCTAAATAATAATAAGATTATTTTTTCATTTTCAACAGATAATGTTAACTTTCCCCTCTCCCCCAAAAAGATACAAACATGGACTTTAGCTTGGGGGTGGGAGGAGTATTTCAATAAGAGGGGGAAAATACAATTCCACACTAGCATACTAGATGAAGACTTCAAATTACAGATCTGTCTATAAAGAAGTCTTAGGACTATTATAAACTAAGGTTTCAACTTTTCAAATTGCTCATTTTTGAAACTAAAATACTGCATCCAGTCTAAAGAAAAACCAGATCTGGTTCAGTGTTATAAATTTATAATTTATAGGTAAAGAGGACAAGACTCAAAGATGGTAACAAAATAAATTGTAATGTTACTGAGCAAGTTATTTTGGAATTGAGGTTTGCTATTTGTTGTAGTCAACTTGATGGCACCTGATTTCTATGCAATAAGAAAGTTCATATTCTTGTGAAACATGAAGACATTAATGATACTCAAATTGTCCCAGTTACACTCTAAAGTATGAACTTTAGAGTCAAAGCTATAGAGAAGAGTTAAGTAAATATAGAATGTCTTTCTCCAAATGTAGCTTCAAAATTCAAGAGTCACTGCCATAGAGTCAGAAATGACTAACTCACATCCAACCCTCCAGGAGGTTTTCTGAAGCTGTAAATCTCATGGGAGGAGAAAGACTATTTTTCTCCTGCAGAACAGGTGGTGAGCTCAAACTGTCAGTGTCTTATAAGCACAACTCTTACAGTTTCTCTAATGGAGGCATGTTGGTGTGCTGTGTGCCATGGAGACTGAACTAACCCATAGGTGACCCTCCAGTGGGTTTTCAGAGGCAATAAACTGCACAAGAGGAGACTGCCCATCCTTTTCATGTAGTACATGGATTCAAACCTATGCCTTTGGGATTGCAGTTTCTAACCACAAGGCCAATCCTGAGTAATATGCTGGCATATTGGGGCCATTAACTAGGATGCATTTAAAGGAATTCCCTCTGCCTTCAACCAGGGGTACACATCCATCACATCCCCATCTCCACCACAGGAAATACTATAAAGTGCTAGCATTGTAATGAAATGAAAGACAAAACACTAAAATAACTGCTATCTCAGAACTAGGCTAAACCATTGTAACTGAACAACTAAACTGACCCAGGAAACAGTAACAATAATATTCATGATGTGTATATGGTGACTGTTCTTCATAATCTACACTAAAATATCTGGCATTCTAATTATATAAAATAAGAATTCAATGTTAAAAATGAATTAAACAAAGCATTGGATCAACTTCTTCAGCTAAAATGAAATCTTTATAGTATCAAATTTCACTGTAAACTACTGCTTCATTCTTTTAAAAATATTACTAAAACAATTACAATAAACAACAGTTTTAACACATGGTCTATTTCAGTGGAAAATGACAGCTTTAAAAAAAAAACCTTTGAGGACAAAAGGCTAATTTAATATGAAGGTATTTTTTTCCAAGGCAATAAGGTAAAAACTTACCTCAGCCTATTTTCTCCACGTCTTAAAAAAAAATCTTGCATTTCAGATAAAGTACTGATTCAAAGCAACCATTAAGTATAAGGAATATGCAGCCACAAAACTCACCTAAATAGGGAATACACGGTGTCATCTTTAAGCTACTTATATAATCTCTGAGTCTTTTGTAATTATCTTCTTTACTCATTACATATTCTAATTTCTCAAAGGTTGTTTTGTCTTTTCGACTTAATAACTAAAAAGATAAAAAAAAACACAACAAAACATAAAAGAATGTTATTTACAAATCTCATTTTAGGATAACAAAAGATGACTTCTCTTGAAATAAAGTTGTAGCTAACTGTGTGTTTAAATTTTAATTTCAAAATTACACCTTCTTTAATTATATTTTGACAGTATGTAAACAAAACAAAATCAGATAGGTCTAGGAAAATAAACTTTCACTGTCCGAGGTTTCTGTACCTTATCCTTATGAACTCCAAGCTGGAAATCTATTTGTGCCAAGCCAATAATGTATTGTGGGTTCCCCCCACCCCGCCTTCATTCTCTAGCTTCAGACATCATTACTAGTCACTGTGCGTTCTGAACATAGCTGGGCCTTTGTACTCTGCTTGGAATTTTCTTGTCCCAGATTTTTCTATGACAGACTCCTACATTTCCTCCAGGTCTTTTACTCAATTGTCATTTACTAGTGGTCCTAGAATCACACTACATAAAGTAGTACTGTCCTGAGTCCCCTCATCTCTGAAATGTTTCAGAGTATTTACTATTATTTATGATAGCAGAGTATGATTTTGTGTATTCCAAGCAATCAGACAAAGCCTGTATAACACAGAACTTTCAAAAATGGAATAAAAACACCAAAAGCATTCATCAGATTAGCAGTGGAATTGCTAGCAATTTTAAAAAAAAAATCTTCATGCAAATATTTGAAGAAAGCAATGCATGTATCTTCAAGGAAAACAAAAATTAAAGGACCTACAGCTCATTTCTAAACCACAGTATAAATCCAAGTGTTGTGCTGGTGCCTAAACCTTAAAGATGGCATTTTTAACTGTATAGTCATAAAATTATAAGAAAATTATAAAATACATAAAATTCAGCTTTTAAAGAAAAAGTATAAAGCCATCATTGCTAAAAAACACTTTGAAAATAGGGAAATCTTTCACCCATCTGTTCCTGTAATAGGAATAAAATAGAAAAAAGAATTGATCACAGGTTCTTCCTCATTAATATTTTTTCCAATGTAGAAATCTACTATGGTTTTTATGAGATGCAGCTCTCGAGAAATTATGGAAAGTGAAAGCTGCACTGGCATAAAGAAAAAGCTTTATCTGAGCAATAGCTTTTTTAAAAAAGTAGGTTTTTAGAACTCAGTTATGCCTTTAGCATAGAACTAACTTTATGAATGTACTAACCAGTTTAACAAAAAGTCTAACACAAAAATCATTGCCTGTTAACACTAAGGAATACTATTTAATATAAATTTAGTTGGATCTGAAATTTTACTTATCTAAAAGCTAAATGAGGAAAAACAAACCAACCCTCAATTTAAAAAAACCTGGAAAGTTTGAGGCCAGTATCATATTACTCAAATATAAAAATATACAAATTTGCAGAGATAAAAATTCCTAGGACAACAGAATCAAATATGATTAATACAGCAAGATAGCAACATTACAATGACATTTTAACTATGAGATTTTCAGTTATTTATAAAAAAAACACCCCAAGTTATTTATTACCGAAAATTAAAAACCTAAAAAATCAGTTCACTTCGCAGACAGCTGATGATTTAGACCTTCCTACAATTCTCCAAAAACATTATCTTTACTTGGCCAAACATGATTCCGTGCATTTTTATTTCCCACCATTGACTAAGAAACATTATGATGCAATAAGGCACTTAACAGAAGTTCTATAAAAATGGCTGCCAAGCCCAAACAAAAAAAAAACCTAG